AGAGCTTTTCGTTGTACAGCGGTGAAGGTGCGTGTGAGCAGTGGGGCTCGTAGGAAGACCCCAGCAGGGGTTCAGGCCCATGTCCCAGCACCCAGGGCTCGCTCGAGGGGGAGGGCAGGCTGCTGCGGTCACCCATCTCTCCACTGACACTCATCAGAGTATGTTAGTGCACCCCATACCCTTCCCAGAGCTTCTGGTCAAGCTGCAAGGCTCACCTTCAGCCCTGGAGAAACCTGATGGGTACCAGCACCCAGTGCTCCCAGTGCACGTGGCTGAGCCCAGACTGGCGGACGGCTCTGCCTCTCTTGCAGCCCAAAGTTCTCAGAGGGGCATTTCACAGCACAGGGCAGCACCGAGGTGAACCAGTGACATGCCATCAGGGCTGGATGCGCCAGGGGGAAGGCGGAGAGGGGGCTGGGAGGTGATGGGGCACAGGCAGATGTTCACCCCAACCACAGGGCACGCATCCTGGGAGATGACTGCGGAGGGAACAAAACCAAGCAAATATCAGTTGTGGCCTCCAAAGAGCAGCACGTCAACCTGCGAAATTTTACGTACATCCTTTGTTTGTCACCAAGAGTGGCTTTTGCCAAGAGGCAGATCCCCCCCCCACTCCCTGGACAAGGTAGACAGAGGCAGCAGGAGGGGCAGTCTCCAAGGTGAGAGTGGCCATGCTGTGTCTGTTTACCCTACAGGAGGGGTAAGTGGAAGTGTGAAAAGTCATTCCTTGCAGAGGGCAGGGAGTAACCCCCCTCCTTATCCCGAGGGAAGGTCAAAGAGTCTTGGGTTTATCTCACAGCAGGAAAAGATTTATGAAACATTCAAACCACCGCTGGTAGAGACAGTTTTCCCTTGGCCTCCGGGTTAGAGGGACCCATGTGCCCCACGCCGCAGCAGAAACGGCCCAGGGCTAGTTTCACGCAGCCTTCAAGCTGAACCAAGCACGGGCTCCCATGGAAAGGGGTCTCTCACAGCACAGCCACGCCGGTACAGTCTCTGGGGGGGCTGGATCAGGGAACAGATCCAGCTGGAAATTAGCTCAGCCTGGGAAGCTCTGGAGAGAAGCAGGATTGCCGCAGCGGCACTGTGCTTGGGACAGAGGTGCTGGCCAGCAGGTCATGGCAAGCAGGTCCCCCTCCCTGGCATGTTGACCCCCAGGCGAGCTGGGCTCTGTCACCAGCTGGGGAAGGCAGAGAAAACCCAA